CTGAAGTTGAATGAACATGAGTGTTGGTTGCAGCAAGACGGTGTTACATCACACACTTAATGAAACCATGCAGTTCTTGCATGAGTTTTTTTGGTGACCGTCTCATTTCAAAAGGATTGTGGCCCCCCGCGTTTTGCCCGATTTGTCTCTTGCAGATTTTTTCCTTTGGGGGTACCTCAAAGGAATTGTCTGTAAAAACAATCATCACACACTGGGTGACCTCAAGAAGAACACTATGACCGCGATTAACAGCATCAGCTTACAGGTGCTCCACAAAGTGGTCTCAAACATGGTAAAAAGAGCTTGCACATGCATTGCTGAACAAGGAAGCCATTTTGAGCATATGTTGTAAAGACATGCTCTGATTTTGCATTTCTAAGATGTAAGGTTATAAACATTAATAGTAAGTGCTCTATGTCATGTAGTTTGTGCATTGAACCAGCAAAATATAATTGCTTAGTGTGATGTGCGCAACTTCTCGATCTTCCTGTATTATCCGTGATACTAGACTTTGTTTTCTTGGCAGATAGTGGCTAATGTTCTGGCTAACAGGCCAACGGTAATAGAGTCCGGTTGTTTGGTTGTTTGAAGAAGATCCTGTACATTCAGATGATGGCATGATAAATGTTATTAGAAGTTATGATTCTAATACACACATTTCACCAAAGGTTCTGAGGTTATGAATGGAAGGACAGGATGTTAAAAATAGTAGTTGGTGGTGTGATATATTGGTGGTTCAAATGGATTAAGTGTGGTTTTAAATCTGACTGTTGAATGAATGAATGTATAAGGGGTGGGCCTTCTCGGCCCTTGCACCGCGACCTACAGTAGTCTATTGTGCTTAAATTGACTTTTACTATTGGTATGATTATATAGCAAATGATAATACATATATTATGTGTCATGCTACAGCTGTTCATTGGGTATTATCAAACTAAAAATATTTTTTATGTACAGCCATTTTGTTACTTTACATTTTTGTAAAAGTCTGAAGTAAAAGTTTCATATTTTACAAATGTTTGTTTCTGTATCCTAATAGAATGACACTGAACAGCTTGAGTGTTGTTTCCACCTCATAAGTTTACATGGTGATCAAGATTGAAAGGTTTTTCAGTATTGAAAGCAAGTTTTATAAAGTGTTTTTAATTAGTTCTGCAGTCTTATGTGGAACAGCGTATTAATACTTCATAAAAGCTGGTTACTTTAAAAGTTTCACAACATGTTTCGAACGAAGTGGTCATCCTCAAGTGGTGAAAGTTGTGGAAGAGGAAACTGTGTCTTTCTACTTTAATGTTCAGTTCGGTATACATGTGTATTCTTCCTTGCTGTGTTATGTTCCCCATCATATCATGTTCCTTGTCTTGTTAGAAACACATGCATGCTAGTGGAAAGTTTTAATAAATTGTTGCACATAAGACTGTAGAACTGATTAAAAACACTAAATGAAAAGTGCGATAGGATGCTACAATATTAAGTTTTATGAAATTCTCTGAAATGGCATTTTTGGTATTAATGTTCACAGCACTTGAATCAGCATGGATGGACAGACAAACTGCAGTTTAATAATAGGGTTTCAGAGAAGGACATTTTCTTTTTAAAATGTTGCAACATTACTGTAATTTTTGCTCCCATAAACATACTTACTTACTTACTATATTGTACTTCATGTTAAATTTGTTCACAGTATAAAATGTAAAATTTCTTAGCAATAGTCATGAGCATTCCTGCAGGATGGTACACAATTTTGGAAACAATTGTGACCGTAAAATACATGATTGTGAAGACAGTGCGATGTCTGTTTGGTGTCATGGAGGCTTCCTCTTCCCCTGATCTGTGGTGGGATAGTGATGCTCAGCTAAGCAGGAGTGTAAGGCACTGCGAACCTTAGAAACGTGTTGTTTAAAAATAAGTTGTTAACGTAGTGTTTCGTGAAGCGTAAGCCATAAGAATGGTAGATATATGCTGCATGATTTATATACTGGGATTCCTTTCATTTTACTACTGAGCTTTTTGTTACCATAATTCAGCTGTAGTATGTAATGTTTACTGCTCAGGTGGCTTAATGAGCATATTTTTTTGCTCCCCCTCCCCATTGGGGTGCGCGGTAGCATAGATGGTTGAGGCACTATGGTACAAGCTGGAAGGTCGCGGGTTCAAATCCCGATGAGGTCATATGATTTATTTTTCAGTTGACCTAATCCTTCCAGCCACACTTTAACCCTGGGGTCAACTCAGCCTCTAACAGAAATGAGTACCAGGAATATTCTTGGGGGTAAAGGGCGGCTGGCGCGTAGGGCTGACAACCTTGCCGCCATCTATGAGCCGATTATCTAGAAAATGTGGGAACCTCAACATCTCACAACCCTATGGGCTTCCAGGGCCTGTTGCAGGGATACCTTTACTTTACTCCTCCCCATCTCCAGTTTCAAAAATGTAATGGATTGTGCTACAGGGACTATTAAGCTCAGATAATTGTGGGTTAACTACTCCAACACCATTAAGAATGTGGAGACAGGATGCCACACTAGCGCTTTTGAGGTTGTCTGGCATTTTGTAAAGTAGGAGACACCTGCAGAGTAAGGGGAATCCTGTAGGACAGGAGAAAACTGCAGGGTACCTCCATTAATTAGACTTTAACCAACACATTCCTTGCCTCCTGGCTTGATTAGAGGTCTTACAGTGATGAGAGACAAAGCTGCATAAATTGTATCATTTACCAGTGTTCCTAAGGTTTTGCTCTGTAGTTACTTTTTCCACCCAGTTTTTAACAAGTGTGATACGATTGTGTATTGTGTAGGGTACGGCAAGTCGCTCGCAGACAGACTTGGAGCTGGAGATCGAGAACATGGGTGCCCATTTGAATGCATATACTTCAAGGGAGCAGACTGTATATTATGCCAAGTGTTTGAGTGAGGATGTGTCAAAGGCTGTGGACATCCTTGCTGACATTATCCAGAATTCAAAACTTGGTACGTTTCCCAGCTATTTCATTGATCAGTAGTGATGTCTGGGGTCATACAACGGTGTCAGTAAGTAGGGTTCTAGTAAAATTGTAGGTGGTACGCAAAGAAATTGAAAAATACTGGGTTTTAACCCAAAGGAAATACAGTCCACAATTTTGCTACAAATATGCAGTTAAAGTCATTACAGTTGTTGATATAGATAAAAGGTGCAGTTTCTTATAGATAAATATTGAGTTTAAGCCTAGATAAACTATAGAAAGGGGAGAATCATTGTTTTACATATTTTTATATCCTTCATAACTTTACTGCACCATGTTACTGCATTAACACTTTGAGCATGATGCATTTTATGTTTTATGATGCCTGTACATTTTTGCATATAATAAAAAGCTGCAAGATAAAATCATGGTGTAATAGATAGCTAGTACCTCTTTATAAATGTGGAAAAGTTCAAGTATATGAGAACATTAGTAACAAATCAAAATTAAGATTCACAGAGCAGTTAGGAGCTAGTTGAATTGAGGAAATGTTTGCTACTCTTTAGTTCAGAATATTTTATTTTTGTCTAGTGTATGAAAATGTATACAAAATTATTACTACACATGTATCGTGTGACATGTATGAGTGCTTGTCTTGTCACCTCGAGGGTAGAGCATACATTAAGTATGTTTGGGAATGAAGTTTGATGATATTTTGTGCAAGAGAGTGAAAGTTGCAGGAGGCTGGAGAAAAGTACATGTTTAGTAGCTTCATAATTTTTACTCCTAACAAAATATTATTTGGGCAGTCAAATCAAGGAGGATGGGATGGACACATGTTTCGGAGAAATGAGAAATGCATACAAAATGTTGGTAAGAAAATATGAGGGAAAGAGGCCACTTTAGAGACTTAGGGGTAGGTGAGAAGATGATTTTGAAATGGATCTTAAAGAAATGGGTATGAATGGTGTGCTTTGTTTATCTGGCTCAGTTTGTGGTTCTTATGGTCATGGTAATGACCCTTAAGTTTCCAATAAAGGTAGGGACTTTCTTGATTGTATGTGTGACATTTTGCTTCTTGTACAGAATTCTGTGCCATGGATTTACATTAGCTAAAATATCACTACAGTTTGAGGATTGCATTATACAGGATGAATAAGAGCTCTAGTAAAATAGGGCAATATGGCAGCCGAAGACTGGAATAGTGGAGCCAGAAGAGACAGTGGTGGCTTGGCAACCTCTTGGTAAACATATTCCCATGGCAACAAATACACACGCAACAACAGAAGAACCATTGGAAGCAGTGTTTTTATGTGGTCCATGCTAATGTTATACAGGGTCTTATATTAATGTCGGGGTTTTCGTGGCCCATAAACGAAAATCCTGACAATTTAGAATTTCCCTGTATAATGAGGACCAAAGTAATGAAAATTTCGAGACAACCAACCCCGGTCACAATAAAGATAGACCAAAAACAACTGTAGAATGTGAAATGTTTTAAATATTTGGGTAGCTTGTTAACAGATNATATCCTACACGAAATAAGAAAACGGAAGGCTAATTGGATTGGTCATGTGTTACGCAGAAACTGCCTTCTAAAAGAAGTTATCGAAGGAAAGATAGAGGGGTGGATAGAAGTGACAAGAAGACGTAAGAAGATGCTGGATGACCTTGGGGACAGAAGAGGATACTGTCATTTGAAGGAGAAAGCTCTAGATCGCATTAAATGGAGGAATTGTTTTGGAAGAGACCGTGGACCTGTCGTCTTGGCAGATTACAGATGAATGAATGAATGAATGAGGACCAGCAGGACAAGTGAGTCAGTTGTGGGTCAGCACTCATAGTTGGTGCTTAGTCTTGAGCCTAGAAGTAAAGGAATCTCCACTATCAGAAACTGCTTCCTATTGATGACTAGAGAAGATATAACAGACTGAAATAATGTGTGCTATGGTGATTTGTAGAAAGTGTTGTGTTTTTTGTGGTTACGGGTCATCAGCATTCTCTAAATCCAACTTTTAATCCAACCCCTGTTTCACTAACACATGACAGTGCCTTAAGGAAGTTGATGAGGGTATCTGTTGGAGCTGTAAATGTAAATACATTTTTTATTCAGATTGGTCTCCATTTCGGAGTTATGACATGTTTATGGTGATGTCACTTTCATGGTTAATGGGGAGGGGGGGGTTCCATTCTAAGAGATCATAGGATTAGACAGCTGAAAACAGTTACCAGACAGCACCAGTAAAATCAATGGCACTAACAAATATTTGTAGATTTACTAATGCTGAGTGTATGGATATGCATTTTGACTATTGTTCTTGTGATGGTCTCACTGCATTGAGGGATTATCAGCATTGATATGCAGATCAGAGGCAAACTTGCTGATTTGTATATGAAGTGGCACACTGTAATCTGAGACAGATGGGCACTCGTGCTTCTTGCACATGTTAGCTGTGGGAGACACAGTATTCAGGATGAAGAGGATGTGTTGGATGTCATAAACGATAACCTGTCGGCCAACACTCACCAGACTTCTTCTGCAATAGGATTTTCTCAAGAGTCCAGTATGGCATAATATGTATACGTGTCAGTTGTATTCTTTCCGTGGACAACCAGTACGAGGTTGCAGCCAGAGGATAAACATCTCTCTCTGTTTATCACAGGGGGTGCTACTCAAGATTGTGGGCACCTCTCAATTTTTGTATCCTATGTTGTGGACTGACAAGGCAGTGTTTGCAATGTACATATGTGTAATAGTTAATAGATGTATCCTTAATATATATAATCTGCACAACTTGCATGTATGTGCAATGGAGAATCCTCATGCTGTCACTTGTCATTCCAGCAAAGATTTATTGTTAAAGTTAGGGCTTGAATTGTAAATCATCATGTAATCAGACCATATATAATACAGGATCTTCTAGATGGAGCTCGCTACACTATTTTTTAAGAAATGCTTCACTCTTATTGGAGGATGTTCCTCTACATATGTGCAAAAGCATGTGGAATCAGCACAATGGTACCCGTCTCCATTTTGTGCATTAAGTGTGTAATTGGCTTGACAGCAACTTGCCAAGCAACTTTTGCTTGGTCTCCATGGTCTCTCGATCTCCCCCCCCCAATATTGTTATTTATGGGGATGCTTGAAAGAAGAAGTTTAGGATTGTGATTGTCACATCACATGGAGGTGGCTGTTGCAGACATTAGGAATCTGCCTAGACAACTAGTTAACACCAGGGTCCCAATTTGACATTGCTGCAAGACATGTCCTCTGGAGGACGACGGCTCGAACATCTGTTGTGATGTACATTGAGGTGTGCTGACAAGTCCCCCACCTTATGAACGGATTGTACTCAAACAGAGATACTCTGAAGGAACAGTTGAAAATGCTGCAGAGAAGAGAATTTGCCTTCTTTCTTTACTTGCAAGCAAGGAAGGGAATTGACTTATCATGTTAAAACTATAAACGTTTGTGACGATGGTATATTAATACAATTATTGTGTTTCTGGACATTAGCCATCATCCTCTTTTTATTGAAAACACCATTTGGGAGACTGGGTTCTGTCTCCGTCTTCAGCTGGAACCGAAATAAGAAACAGGATGATGGAAAATGCCCAGAAGAACAGTAATTGCATGTCAGAAACTAATTTATTCCATATTGTAAAATTGACAGTCATCATAAGTCCAAGAGATATCAAAGTAAAACATTATAACCCCTTAACAGTGGGAAATCTGAAAAGAAGGAGAAAACTATTTACACTCTTAGCTTGAACTGATCTCCCCAACAGCATCCTTAAATTTTGTACCAGAGCTTTGAATCAACCTGTATATGTTGAAATGTCCGCAGTGAGTGAGGAGTAGGGCATGGAAGGTTCTTGTTTTCCTTCTGTCATAATTATTAAATTCAGGACACAAGTAAAATAACCAACCCTATGTGGCATAGTCATTCAGCTAGTCAACATGAAGATACATATATTGTCTTGCATTACTTAACATGTGGATCCATGGGGGAGGAAATGTGTTTGTAACAGATGTAGGACTTAGTGGCCTTATATTCTCATATGCTTTAGTTAAATGGGGAGTGCATGCTGCTCTTGGTGAAGTAATACACCGAAACCAAAAACCATATTTGTTGGTTATTGTATTTCTAGAATTATAGTCTGTCTTAATGAGATTTGTAGTTTGGTAGATAGCTCCAGCATTTCAAAGGGTTTTGTGGCCTCCATCTTCAGGGCAGGAGAGTCAGCCAAGAGGGGAAAGACGTTAAGACAAATATGGAATGGAGTGTGGGGAACTATTCATGAATTAATGTTGTGTCCTGTTCTTTTTGTATTTTACTTTTCNCTCCATCTTCAGGGCAGGAGAGTCAGCCAAGAGGGGAAAGACGTTAGACAAATATGGAATGGAGTGTGGGGAACTATTCATTAATTAATGTTGTGTCCTGTTCTCTTTGTAGTTGACTTTTTTACCCTGAGAATGTTGGCACCAGATTTCTCAGAAACATGGGTGCACTGCTATCAAGATACACAGGATCACATGTCATTTGTTGCCATGAGAGTCCCAGATTTCATATTGATGACTCTCCTTATAGGAAACACATATTTTATTTTTTCACCCTAGATTTTAGAAATTGGATAATGTGTAAATGTAGGTGAAATCTGTTGGATGAGAAGGAAAACCCCTTTGTGTACTTTGAGGTTTAACCCAAACATGTGCCGTAGACCTGAGAGAAAATAATTTTATCTTTATAGCTTATCTAGTACTAATTTGAAAGGTCTTGTTTGTTTTAATTTTGGTTTCTAATTAGTGCAAGCACATTGTACAGAGTTTCCTGTTCTACTGCAGGTGAGGCAGAAATTGACCGAGAGAGGGGTGTGATTCTTCGTGAAATGCAAGAGGTTGAAAGCAATCTTCAGGAGGTTGTGTTTGATCATCTTCATTCAATAGCCTTTCAAGGAACTGCACTTGGACGTACTATCTTGGGACCGTCCGAGGTCATCAAGTATGTAAAGTAGACAATAAATCATGTACTTTATTATAAGATGTATGCTGAGGAGGTGTTGTCATTGGTGCTGTGGGCATCCTCGTACTACGAATACTGCTAAAACGGTAATATAAAAATGACAGCTACAAATACTCTAACAACTGTGATTAAAACAGTGTCCATTGTAATTAGTAGTATAATTAATAATAGCTCTGTAATAACTGGACATTGTTTATGTGTGAAATAGAAGCCTTATGTGGAGACGAAGTAGTGTAGTTTTCTGTGGCCTACTGTATCTGCCCATACCATCTGACAGGTTTTCATAAAATTCTGTATTGGATGCCTTCATCAAAACTTGTTGGGCAGTTCCAGTTTTCATTAATATCGAACGAAAATAAGCACGGTTTACATAAGAGTATTAATGAAGTTCTCTGTGTATCCCATAAACTTTTAGTATGGGGACTTGCACTAAAAGTTCAGACAATTCTGATTTTCTGCAATGTTCATCTGTAATAAAGCCTGATTTATATAAGCCCAATGATACTTTTCTATATAACCCGTAAACCATTTCACAGATATTGTTGGATACCCTTATCAATGAGAACTTTATCTGATAATTAAAGTAACCTGACCATTTAGCCACATGTGTTTTTGCAGATCCCATCTTCTCATTCTTATTCCCTCAAGTTTACGTTGAAAGTTGTTACAGTGCCATTACAGCCCCCCCCTTCAGACCTTTTAAATATATCACAGAAATTCACTGGTATATTAACACCCAACTTTTAACCATAAATTTTTTGTGAAATATGTATGAATATGAGTAAATAATTATGTCACATGTTGCTTTATGTACTGCCTGCATCCCAGTTTAAGTTCACACAAATATCAAGGCATCCAGAGTTACTCATGATTGTATACACTTGCTTGTTGCAATGCAATGGAACAGCGGTAGACATGCAAGATATTGGGTTCTTATAGCAGAGATTATTAAGATCACTGTCTTCTGGAATGTGGCACCATGTAGTTTGGTGCTTATCTATTTAACTACATGGTGCCACGTTGCAGAAGATTCTAGTGAGCTTGATGCAGATTTTGCTTTTGCATTACAAAACGGTTATGGTCTTTTGCGTACAAGATCGAGATGAAGAAACAGAGAACTGGATAAAAGGGTTTAAGATAATGTAAGGGCTAAAATGAGTCAGTTGGAAAGGGGAATATGACAGTTCCCATTTTCTTGATAAATGATTCGGATAAAATAACTATGTTTGTTAAATATTGTCACGTTTTGTGGGTGTGTGACTATAGATGGGGTGAATTGGGTATTGGATTTATTGACCATTTGTAAACACGACTCAGAACTACACTTTACAGATCACTGACCCACACAGACTAATGTCCTCAGTCTGTTAGTCTCCACTAGCTGTTTCCTGTCAGCTGCTTATACTGAAGGAGATTTTTCAGATTCTGCACTCAGGTTCTCTTGTCACAGCTGCCCGTGTGGAACACTTGTCAACTAACTCAACTAATTGGGTCCCAGGCTGGCGACCATTTCACATCAACCTCCTAGTCTTCTCTTCACAGGCTAACTTTCAACTGACAACTGAACTCATTCTCCAACCAACTACTTCATTTTACTCCACTCCACTGAATTGCTGACAACTTCAACTTCAGCTTGGCTGGTGTCCTCATTATATAACCTTAAGGCGGACCAAACAGAAAACACAGCCTCCAACAGTCCTTCTACTGTTGTGGTGGTTGCCAAGCGATAGACTGGATATAGTTTCCATGAGAACGTGTTTACCAAGCTGTTGCTTAGAAATTGGTCTCTGTTTATCCTCACATTTCATAGCTTGTCCATTTCGAGGTCTCTGCCCATCGACGGGTATGTAGACCTGTTGCGAGGTAGCAGCAATCATGCCAATTGACTCGCTGGGTAGCAATCACATGAGAACCCCGACAGTCCATGTGCAGCAGTGGAGGAAGTTTTGGAGAACAACAGTGAAAAGTGTTTTCTATGCAGTCTGTGCTGTGATATAACCAAGGTGGGTTTGGAAGTTTGTCAGAGAATCTGTGAAGAGAAGACTTGCATGGTGCAGTTGAAGAATCCACACTGTTAGAAGCCGTTCCCAGGGAACGACTAATGGAGAGTGCAGCAGACTGAAGAGACTTAGCGATAGTGTCGTGGTGATTTGTAAAATGTGGAAATTAGCATTGGTACACTTAAGTAAATGTAATTACGAGTTGTGTGCATAAGTGGTCAATAAATCGAGTCCAATCAAAATCCCATCTATAGTCACTCTGGCACTTGACTATGTTGTCATGTTTGTTGATTGCACATACAGTTTGCTCTTTGTTTTAGACGCATCACAAGGAATGATCTAGTGGACTATGTTAAGACGCACTACAAGTCACCACGTGTTGTCCTGGCAGCAGCTGGGGGTGTCAACCATAGTGAACTAGTAAAGGCTGCTGAAAAGCACTTTGTTGGTCTGAAAACAACATATGAAGGAGAGATCCCCATTCTTCAGCCTTGCAGATTTACAGGTCAGTCTTTCACATATGTGATTTTGGAGCTGTTATCGATTTTAGGCTCTTGGATAATTCACCATATAACTTATTAACATACATAATTAGGTATGTTACTTATGTTCCCATTGTCATGGCCACAGTCTACACCCAGGATCGCCACAATGAACATGATGGCATATCCCAACAAAATTTCTGAACCACCTCTCCATCTCACATATAGTTAAATGGTCCATATGTCTGTTGCCTTGTACAGACTTGGTAAACACCAGCATTTAGAACACAGTGAAGTTGCCAGCTTGACCATCCCCAACGGTCTCTAGAGAACCATGGTGCCATCATTCCACTAGACACCACACTAATGGAGATATTGTAGGATAACAAGAGGGTGAAGGAGAGTTTCCTATATAAGAGTTCCTCCATAAAATATTGGAGACAAAACTGAAAACATTACACGAGGCCACAACTAGACTCATTCAGAAAGTCTCATGACAGAGGAACAGGTGCAAGTCCCTGCGGGACTCACCTTTTCCTTACCCAATGAACAGACCCCTCTCTAGGCCCATACAACATTCTTGACATTTTCTTCCTATTTCTATTGCAACCTACCAGTGACACTTTCCACACCACTCAGCCAGCAGTGTAGGATGTTAAGCTACATTGTGCTGCATGAGCACTGACTCCTTGGGAACATAAGATACCGATGGTATTTGGTAAACTCTGTGACTCTGGAAAGGGCTTCGTCATGTCATTGACGTCAGTAGCCTGTCCCTTGTAATCATGTCATTGACATCAGTAGCCTGTCCCCAGCCAACCGGTTCTTCTTGTCTAACCGCAACCTCCAAGTGCTATTGACCTCAAGTTTCCTGGATTCACTGGACTTTCCCCCCCCCTTAGCACACAACACCATATATGGCCTTAATCATTCTCCACTGCTCCTATTGGTCCGCTCTCCCTAACCACCCTCCTGCCTACTTTGTATATATAGCAGTGCCTTTCACTTCCTAATCATCACATCTACTGCTGTCTGCATTCACAAGCCATTCACCTGCTCTGAAGATGGAGGCGATACGTTCCTCCGAAACGTCGGCCAAAACGAAGAATACACGGCACCAAAACCCAGAAGACGACTTTCTTCAGAAATGAGTCATGTTTTCAGATGAGGAAAGATGGTAGGGGTTTGATATGTCATGTGACTGGTTATTATTATTTTTATTAGATGGCGATTGCTGAGCAGAACAAGTGAGCTCACTGTAGCTGAGAACAGTTAAAAATAGGTTTTTCAACTGGTGAATAAATCCTGGTAATAATGGTGTTCCTAGAAGGACAGTAAGAAAATGCATATCACCTGTAGTTGTGTCAGAATTTATAGGCTTGCATAAATTAGAGTTTGTCTACCGAGCAGACTTTTTCAAAGAACTGAGAATGGATCAGTACTGCAGAATGCAGTTAAACATATTAGAAAAGCATTATTTTGAAACCAGAATAATAGGATAGGTCCTTGTAGAAATAATACAGCATGTTAATATAATTTCGTGATACTGTACACATAGAGTGCCTTCACATTAGCCACACTTACCCACTGCCATGCAGCGAGAAAATTATTGATCCAGTATGTTCGAATTTCCCACCAATATATGCTGAAAATAGAATCTTGTAAATTTGTAATGATGTACGTCACTTAACTGATGATGATGATGGACCCTGATTTGTGTAGCAGTTCAAGAATAGCTGCGCCTTTAACATTTTGTTATTTGTTATCACCAGGGCCTGGATTTTGATGACCTAAAAATATTTAAAAAATGACGTGTAAAATGACCGAAACGATCCAGAAAAATGACCTAAAATATGACCCAAAAATGTAATATGTCAGAATATTTACTAATTATATTAAAATGTATTTTTAATCTTTATTAACACTGAACTCATCTTTACTCTTTTAAGTTCATCCTCGTTTTTATGTTGAAAATTAAGCAATATTTATTGAATTTGAAGCTAAATGTTTTAATATGATTTTTTCTGTTGTGTTAGAATGCTTATCAAATGTACATGTACGGTATATATTCCAACATTTAAGTCTTGCCTCATTCAGAGTTGCAATAGATGACAATCAACATATGGAGATTCTTGAAAGTGAGAGAGCACCTATTGTCCAACAGCACATTCTTGTACTTGGAGAAACTCATTTCCACATCTGCAGACACGATGGGAGCGTACTTGAAGTGTACCAAATCACTAGCAGTAAGTTTTTCTTCAATACTGAAAGTGCTGAAGGACTCTCCTGACAGAATTCGAGAAATGCTGCATAATGTTTCATAACCTTAGTTTTTATCCAGAACACTTTTCATTTTTCTTGACACCATTTTACCAATGTTCCCTGACACTTTCTCCAAATCACTGACTTTTTTTTTCACCAGAGCAAGCGAATCTTCTAGCGTTGCTCCTTTCTCCTGCAAGCATTGGATTCCTTCTGTCAAGGAACTGAAATTTGCCTTTATAAAGGCCAGCTGTCCTTCCATTTTGATGCACGAGAACTGTCTAGAGCAGCTTCAATTGCCCTCGTATCCTCCATCTTCATTGAACCTACAGTGTTTTTCACTACCTGAAAATGATCACAATAGTAAATTACAGCATCAATCCATGTTCCCCACCTTGTAATGATGGGTTCCAGGAACAGTGGAACACCAGGAGCCATAGACTTAAAATGAATTTTACAAGCTGAAGCCTTGATGAAAATCTTCTTCGTCTTCGACATAAGAGCATCGACTTGAGGAAATTTTGATCTCACTTCCTCTGTCACTCTGTGCAGTGCATGAGCTAGGCAAGTAACATTCACCAATTTCATATAAAACGACTTTATTGACTTGCCTACTTTTACAATATATGGGGCTGCATCAGTCATAAAAAGCAAGACGTCATGTCATATACCCTCTGGCCACAGTAGAAACATTGACCTATTGAAGAGTATACAAATTGTGGAATGATTAACGGATTCTAGCACCTCACTCATAAGCAGAAACACTTCACCTGGTCCGCCAATTTCCAAGGTTTCAATGATGATGTTTGCCACATAGCAAGCCTCCTCCGTATTGCAGGTCTCATCAATGGAAACGAAAATCTTCCCATGCACTTTATTCCTAATCATTTCCAGGATACTGTTGTAGCACTGGGAAAGGTAGTTCTTCCTGAGTGTGGATTCATCCAGGATAGAACAACCACAGTTTACTTCCAGAAAATTTTTCAGTTTTCCATTGTTCAGAGCCCAAAACGGAATATTTGTGGACGCCAGAGCATCACACAGATCTCTGAAAAAATCCGACTACTTATTTCCACCTCCAGATGAACACTGTTGCAGTAACATTTGTACAGGTTTCTTTTTGTTCGAAATTTGCACTGCTCGTATATCCTTGTCGCGGCCGATATGTTGTTGTACCGTGAATCTTTTTTCTGCCGCTACTTTTGTGTCACACATCTTACAGTATAAAATGTCGCCGTGTGTTGAAAATATATCATCTCCAAACTCAGCTACAAATTGCTTTTAATGGCACGATTTAGTTGGCTTTGCTTTTGGCATCATGATAAAATTAATCACTCTAGCGCATGACAGAACTGAACTTTTCTCACCAAGAACCTTTCGTCAACTGTATCTTTATGTGTATGGTCAAGGGCGAGGAACTGAAGACAGAAGGAGTTTTATTGAACAACAATGTCATATGAAGCAAGAGATTCCAACTAGAAGTATGTGTAACTAAGCAAATTGCTTCGTACAAAGAGCTGTAGTGTGAGTACCCTGTTTTATGTTATGTATTGTCAGCACTTCCGCAAAACGAACAGAAAGGACAGACCAGGATTACAACCTGTTATTGTATACTATGGCCTTTGTCGAGAGCGCTTAGGAGAAAGAGAAAGAAAGAACACTTCGCTTCCATATTATTCACATTTCAGAAAACGTATGAAGAAAAATTCCCTAAAATGGCCAAAAATGACAAGAAATACCCTTAAAAGCCCCAAAATTTACCAAAACGTTACCCCCAAAATGAAAAATGACCTTAAACCTAAAAATGTCAAAAAATCACCTATAAAATTTACATTTTTGTAACCAGCAGCTCATATCTGAGATTTATATATTTAAGAGCATCGCATAGGGTACAAGGAAAAAAGATGACATGTCATCAAAATCCGGGCCCTGGTTATCACCTTCAACATGAAAGTAAGATGTTTTAGTTCCTAGGCGTTTCATTTTCTTGAGACTTAACTGCATGCGTACATGAAAGTAACATAATTAACTGCCAGATGTTGAAGCCCTTGTAGGGGCGATTGGTATGGTTTTCTCCAGTACCATGACCAGAATTTTACAGCTCTTATTCATGATGAATCAGTTTTGAGATGTTGAGGCAATCATCAGAATAGTGTAACTCCATAAATAATGGAGTTCCTTAGGTTACCTTCAGTTTCTCAAATGATTCTTCACTTTAGGAATCCTCTTGTTTGTTAGCTTTGTTGTATTATAATATTTCTTACAGGATCTGAAATTCGAGTGCGGGATGATTCAATGCCACTTGCACACATTGCGATCGCTGTTGAAGCATGTGGTTGGCCTGATTCTGACAATATCCCATTGATGGTGGCCAACACAATTATTGGTGCTTGGGATCGATCACAGGGTGGTGGAACAAACAATGCATCTCGTCTAGCCACTGCAGCTACTGAGAGCAACCTTGCACACAGCTTTCAGTCTTTCAACACGTGCTACACAGACACGGGTCTTTGGGGAATATACTTTGTGTGTGATCCCTTGAAGTGTGAGGTGAGACGGTGCATCCACATTGGGGTTGCACCAACAAATATTTGTTTGATTCTCAGTAAGAATGAAAGGGGCTGCCTTAAATTAGAACATAAATTTGAAACCCATTTTTTAACTGTTCACTACTCTTCAGTGTTTTGGCTGCAGCCTTGCATGTTGATATGAACACCCAAACTTTGAAGTGCAACTAAGGTCATGAAATCTGAAATATGTGGTTGAGGTAACTTATGTAAAGCCTAACTTTGGTGGGGGGGACCAGGGCTGCTGGGGTAGTTTAGTTTGAGTTAAGGTAGACACACTTGGGGAAAATAAATTTAGTGGACAAACTTAATGGAAAGACTTTACTTGAAAGATCAAAGTAGTGAGATGAGGCTAATTAAATTTTTCCTTGCTTGTTTTTGTAGGATATGCTTTACAATGTTCAGTCTGAGTGGATGAGGTTGTGTACAAGCGTAACTGAGAGTGAGGTAGAAAGAGCCCGGAATCTGTTGAAGACCAGTATGTTGCTCCAACTAGATGGTACAACCCCTATTTGTGAGGACATCGGTCGACAGATGCTGTGTTACAATCGTCGCATTCCCCTTCATGAATTAGAATCTAGAATTGAGGTGAGTAATTGTAGTAATATAATTAATTAATTGGGTGCCTTAACCCTCTGAATACCAAAATATAAGGGTAAGTGAATAAGTAAGTTACAAGTGGATGTAGAACTTAAACAAATAAGAGTACTGATTTGAAAAATGCTTCTATTTCTCAACATAATCTCTCTGTACATTGAGGCACTTGTCCCATAATTTCTCAAGCCCTTGAAAACCAGCATAAAATTCTGTGGGCTGCTGTCGGAACCAGCTAGTGACTTCCCTTTCTACAGCTTCATCATTGTGAAAATGTTCAGCCGAAAGATGATGTTCAAGAGGGCCGAACAAATGGAAGTCGCTTGGAGCAAGGTTGGAGCTATACGGAGGATGCTTGAGGACTTCCCACTTGAAATTTCGCAGCGTCTCATTTGTCTTGTTGGCAGTATGGGGACGCATGTTGTCATGCAAGAGCAACACACCTTTGGTGAGGAGTCCTGGTCACTTCCGTTGAATGGCCTTACCAAATTTACTGAGGATATTACAGTAGGAGTCGGCATTTACGGTTTGTCCTTGAAGCTGGAATGCGGTGAGCAGTATGCCTTTGTGATCCCAGTCACTGCCTCGTTCAGACAGCAGCCCAAAGAATTTTATTCTGCTGGTTTTCAGGGGCTTGTGAAATGATGGGACAATTGCCTCAATGTACAGGGAGATAGGGAAAGAAAAGCATTTTTCAAATCAGTACTCTTTATCTAAGTTCTATATCCATTTGTAACTTACATCCAGCATGAAAGGTCTGGTGGAGTGCAACTATGCCCCATTTATTTTATACAGTGAAACCTCAATGTTATGAGATTTATATAGTTTTTAATAATGCTCCTTTTAAGAGATACTCATAGTATCTGAGAATATAGTGTAACTACAAGTCTGTCCTCCAATTTCCAATTATGTATAATACACATACAATATGACACCAAGATTTAGATAATAAAAGATAAAACAACATTCTCATCAACTGGACTAAAGAGTTGAAGATTTTCTTAATCTTGCATTCCCTCTAATACACACACCTAACTTCTAATTAGGAGCTGAAGTTCCATGCACTATTTTCTGAAGGTTGCTCATGTTATGCTCACAATGTGCTGTGTTCCCCCAAGTTCCATCCACTTCCTGTCAGTAATTCTCTACATGTGCACATATGTGCAGATAAATGCATCAGTTTATATTGAGGTTGGGTAATTGATGTAACACACAAAGCATTTTAACTAGACAAGTATGATCATATGGGACATCATGGGTTGTTGTAACTCCATGGCTGGAATAGATGTAACTTTTTGACGTATGTAAGTGATGGTTATGAATCAGCCATTACGCTTATAACATACATATTGTGGTGATAAATAAACTGTACCTAAACTGTACTTGAATTTTAGTTGTTTATTTATCTGTCAAATGATGGATTTACATTACTACACTTGTAATGAAAATAACCCTCTTCGTGATACATCAGGGCAGGATCCATACCATTTATAGTTTTCATGCCTGTGACATAAACCATGCACCCTACACCTCGAAGACTGAATTCGGACATAAAGCAACAATCTCATTATGACTCTCCCACAGGCACAAACTGAGTAGGCAAAACTAATTTTGTTAATATATGTAGTTAGGTTAGCAGTCATCACAACAAAGTGATTTATAGTCAGTCAGTATTTTACAATTGAAATATTTATTTCCTGCTACATGTTTCAGTCTCATAGGACCATCATCAGGCAGCGATATGTGAATATGTCTAGGGCCATGGAACTGCTAATATGCATCCATATTGGTGCAACATTTCGTACTCTGTGATACAGAATTGTGCCTCGAGTTAAATATGAGTATCAAAATGAAATATGTAAAAATATACAAAATATTCCTAGGATATACTGAAAACATGTCACTTTGTTGTGGTGATGGCTAACCTAACTGTATGTACGGGATACGCAGTAGGATGTACAGTGTGAAGATAATTTTATTAATGTTTACTCGCAAAAGAAAGGAGTACAAATTTCTTTATCTTTGCTTCTTTTGTTAACAGCCCACATGAGGTTGCTTTCCAAATAGCCATCATATTTATGGCTACTAGCTGGTAAAAGTGCTGTTACTCGCTCTCCGTTCTGTCCTTGTCTAGGAGAATGTTTACATTCCATGTATTCCAGATCGAACTGCGTACAGCTTGGAACTCCCAAGTTTTGACCACTGAGAAATGTACGTCGTGTGACGTCCACTGCACCATTCCTTCCTTGCAATGCAGGTTTTGTCACATCAAACATGTACTGTGATTCGGTTAGTGCCAGCTGAAAATTTTGGAAGAACCATAATTATGTCACTGAGGTGTCTGTGTGAAGCCAGCATCTCATCAGCAAAAAGCAAAATGGGAAGATGGTGTAGTGTAACTTTAACACTGTTTACCATATTGAAGCGCACAGAGAATGTATGGTATATACTAAATGTAAGCAAACTGATATTGGTCCTTTCTTTTGTCAGTTCCTATTGATCAAATTCACTTCATGATCTCTGCCTGTGATATAAGCATAATGTGATGAGATCTGTCATAGGCATGGGAACTACAGATGTCTCATGAAGAGGGTTATTTTGTTACAAGTGTGGTAACATAAATGTGACATTTGATAGATAAACAGTTAGAGATTCATGCACAATTTACTTGTCACTACTGTAATATACAAATATGTTTTATATTTAAGTATAATGGCTGGTTAACAGTCATTGCTTACATACCTAAGGTGGCCAAGAAGTTGTGTGTATTCCAGTCTGGTGATCAGAACAGTATGTAATCTGAATGCAGGAAAGATTGGGGAAAGCATTGACATGTTCTGCTGATGCAATTTAAATTGCGTTATGTGACACATCTGTTGCTCAAATTGTGTTCATTCTCACGTATATGCATGTGCTGCAAATTATGGGAAGAATGTTGGTGGGGCTTGTAAATAGAATATGAGTGATGCATGCTTGAGGATAAGCAGAAAGTAGTGGCAGGACTTCAGCTTGTAAAGGATACCTCTTAATTAGCAGTTCATTGTGAATAGATGTTACACAAGTTTAAGTAGTCTGTAACTCTTCATTTCAGATAATGCTGATGAAAAGATTGCTGAATTATTCTTCATTATTTTCATATAGTCACTTCAAAGAAGGAGAGATATTACCATATCTGCATAATTATTTAAACCTTTATTCCATTTTGTATTGCTTCGTCATAGCAACAAAAACTTCTGGAAGTTTCTTAATGTTATATATATGGAAAATAATTTCATAAAATGAGGGCTTTCTCATCGCATTTTGACTAATTCATAACTAGCCGCCACTGTTTTCCCTTAAATTTTTGCTCTAACTGTACTTACAATTTTGCTTTTGAAGTTAGTTATAGTCTATAAAAGTCCTGCTAACCCAGCCTCTCTGGCCTACCCTTGACTAGTATAAAGTTCACATTCCCCACATAGCTTTAGCCACTGAGACATATACATCAGATGGCATCTCCAAATTTGGTTATCAGTCCAATAGCATGTATAATTGTGTATCATGTCATGTGACTGGTTTAGAGTTGCGTCTTCCCCTTCCCCTGACGTGATTTCTGGTGACATCATGATTTTCCCAGTTGCAAAATATTTCACACTATCATAACAGCATAAGAGATGTGTTTAAATGAAGTGAAAAGTCACTTTAACATTGTTCTTTTCATTTATATATATATATTTCGCTCAAACAAGAACTGTAGAGACAGAGAAACAGCCATTGCTAGGTAATGGCCTGTACACATGCACCAGAGGAATGCACATGTATGCACGCAGCAGTGAATCAACACAGCAATAGAGGAAGCAGTGTTTTCTGTGGGTCCCTCCTAAGGCTATATAACGAGGATCTCACAGCTAGAATTACAGTTGAGTTGAATTCCATGTGAGCAGTTAGCCTAGAGTTGAGCTCTGCGAAGATAGTTGGCAGTTGCAGCAGAGAATTGAGGGAGTCTCTGGAGTTGGCAGTTACAGCAGAGAATTGAGGGAGTCTCTGGAGTTGGCAGTTGCAGCAGAGAATTGATGGAGTCTCTGGAGACGGCAGTTGCAGCAGAGAATTGAGGGAGTCTATGGAGTTGGCAATTGCAGCAGAGAAATGAGGGAGTCTCTGGAGTTGGCAGTTGCAGAATAATGGCAAGAAAGCAATCACGCTGTGCAAAGATGGGTTCAAGTCCTGATGAGGTCATTGAATTTTTTTCAATTGACCTAATCCTTCTAGCCGCACTGTGGCCCTGGGGTTGACTCAGCCTCTAACAGAATTGAGTACCAGGAATTAATTAAACAATTTTCCTGGGGAGTAAAGCGTGGCCGGCGCATAAGGCTGACAACCTTACTGCCATCTTTGAGCTGATTGTCTAGATAATGTGGGACCCTCAACATCTCACAATCCTATGGGCCTTCACGACCTGGTACAGGGATAGCTTTAGTTTTACACCAACTTTACTAGATAGCAGCACTTGACTGAAGCACAATGCTGTGTAGGTAACCAAGAAACTTATCACTGTCAGTAACCACCCACCATCCAGGGAATTCACACATAAGTACAAATATACAAAATAACACATACGTCAGATAGAAAACTTGACACAGTCACATATTGTCTGTTCACAGAATACCGCATCATGGACAATATAGACCTCAAACACAGAACTGCTGTACACTCTGCACATAACCCCCCCAAAAAAAAACAGGAAATACTGGAAACGCAGAGTACCAATTTGAAAAAGGGAAAAGACAAAGGATATGTTTTAATAACAATTCATGAATAATTTGGAACTAGTTTTAACCAAGTTGTAGAACAATGAAATAGAAAAGAAACACGGTGCGACAGTTACATGAAAGCATCTACCTGATGATGACCTTATAGGGTCGAAACATGTCTAGAAGTATAATTTATATAAAGGTAAAGCTATCCCTGTGACAGGCCATGAAGGCCCAAAGGGTTGTGAGACATCAAGGCTCCAGACATTTTCTTTCAGACATTCAGCTCACAGATGGTGGTACGGTTGTCAGCTATGCGCTGGCCGCCCTTTATCCCTTGCAGGAAGATTCATGGTACTCATTTCTGTTAGACGCTCAGCCAACCCCAGGGCCATAGTTCTTCTCAAAGGATTAGGTAAACTGAAAATAATTCACCCCATACCTACTCAAACCCATGACTTTCAGGCTTGTAGAATAGTGCCTCAACCAACTAGCTACCATATGCCCCATAATTTATATAAAAATGACAACAAGAATTTGCACCTTCAAGACTGTTTCTGCAGATTAAATCCTCAATCACTGTAACAGGATGCTGAAATATAATATTATGATTGGCATAATTATCATCATAGGATACAGATTGTATCACACTTGGAATTAGAATTGTCTGACCTTGCATGTTAATGTGCAAGAATAATTAAATATATACAGAGTGTTAAAGTAAGAATTTAAAAATGTTATTATGAAAATCAGTACTGGCCACGAAAGTGATTTTCACCATTTGAGAAAAAACCTTAAAGCTACCTGACCTGAATGTATTTCAACTTGGCCCCTTGTGTTATTTATGCAGAGTCCATCTGATATTCAAATTGCAGAAATCATTGTCACACATTTGTGGTCGGATTCCTTCCACAGCATAGACAATGCGGTCCTTGTACAGAAGTAACCTTTGTGGGGTACACCTGGTCCTTACTATGTACCTGGAGGAGGACTTTCATGGGTTTTACAGTAGGAGATCTTTGTGGCCACATTGTGGGGTTGCCTCTTCCAATCAGTTTTTGGGTGAAGGTTCTGTCCAGAAATGTTTGGGGCATTGAAGTCCAATGTGGCAGTTCTCTTTTTGGAATATGATCTGTGAAATCACTTTTTTAATTTGTGGGACTGAATACAGTTTTAGCATATCAAGGTAATTGAAACTGGGGACGGTGCTGTCGGTGAAAAAGAAGTGACCTTGTCATGTGCTGTGGCACATCAGATTCACTTTGGCTCTTGCACTTTCATATTTCGTATCAACATGGGGATTTTTGGAATCCCAACATGTGGCAGTTGTGCCTGTTCACATTCCCAGTAACATGAAATGTTACTTTATCAGAGAAGACAAGGTATCTCATCTACTTGATATCCTCATCCATGTTCTGTAACATGGGGACAAACATATTCCTCATGTGCTACATAATCTTCCTCTGAAAGTTGTAACACACAGGCTTTTGTATGCACAGAATGTCAAGATATCTTGCACTGTAATCTGAGGGATATGGGGGTCTCATCTCACTTCTTGCTCTGTGATCTGAGGGACATGGGGTCCTCATCTCACTACTTGCTCTGTGATCTGAGGGATGTGGGGTCCTCATCTCACTACTTGCTCTGTGATCTGAGGGATGTGGGGTCCTCATCTCTCTTCTTGCTCTGTGATCTGAGGGACATGGGGTCCTCATCTCACTTCTTGCTCTGTGATCTGAGGGATGTGGGGTCCTCATCTCACTACTTGCTCTGTGATCTGAGGGATATGGGGTCCTCATCTAACCTCTTGCTCTGTGATCTGAGGGATATGGGGCCCTCATCTCACTCCTTGCTCTTTGATCTGAGGGATATGGGGCCCTCATCTCACTCCTTGCTCTGTGATCTGAGGGATATGGGGTCCTCATCTCACTCCTTGCTCTGTGATCTGAGGGATATGGGGCCCTCATCTCACCTCTTGCTCTGGCTTTCACAGAACTTTAGCAGAAACCTGCCATATGGCCTCCAGTTTATGTCAGGGATTCCACCCTTACTTATGCTGCCAGTTGCTTGGAACTGTTCCACGTATTACAGAATGTTTTTAAGGAGGGGGTTTGCCCTAAATCATTTAGAACTTCCTTTCAAACATTTATTTCTGCCAAGCACGCAGCCCAACCAGCTTCCAGATATCTCCATCATCACTGAGTTTGGCTCATGCACATGTCTGTATATGCTTGGTATAAAATGTAGCATAAATAAAGCTTTCAGAGTTTTTCTTTAATATGATGGAACTGCCCTGTTGTAACTTTGATATTCACAATACCAATTTTTAAATAATCGTTCTTTCTCTGCTCTCCTGTATTTATGTGGTAAGCATTTACTGTTCCTTGTTAACTACGATTCTTGATTTGGGATGACTAAGTTTTGTACTTTGCCAGTTATCTAATGTCCCAAAGAGAGTGTGGCTTTTCAGAAACAAAATCTATTTCTGTTCTTGTGACAAGGCGAGCAGGCGCTAGTTAAGTGAGTTCGTTAAAAGTAACTTTTGTGAACCACTGGACGGTATATTCAGGGTTTATGCTGGTTGTATAACTCATTTTCAAAGGTGTTCCCACAGTGATATATTGCATTTAGTGTCACAAGTTTGAAACACTTTTTCATCATCTGGTGTTGTGAATAGAATGCAGTGTGTTAAAAATAGATCCAATTTACAAAACATAGTGTTCTGTTCATAAACGTAGGTGATGAACGATATCAAAAGCCCAGAAATCTTAAGTGCAATACATCATACTAACCCTGTCAACCTGAGAGGTGCTTTCTGATTCTCTGATGAAGTCAAGCAAGTGTCCCCTTTCTCTTCACATATGTTGAGACAGAGCTCATCTGTTTAGCTTATGTATTATGAGCATTGCTTTGGATTTTTGTTTGTCTGTGCATACGCACCAGTCAGTCATGAGTGATACTTTGTATATTCACATTTTGCAGAAGGTAACAGCTAAAGATGTGCAAGAAGTTGCGATGAAGTACATCTATGACCGATGCCCTGCTGTGGCAGCCGTTGGTCCAGTTGAGAACCTGCCTGACTACAATCGCATCAGATCATCCATGTATTGGCTAAGGCTGTAAACAGAGGTACATTTGAATGATTAATGCTGTTTTGGTTGGTATAGTTCATGTGTTCTCAACATTCTCTTATAAGTTCATATCACACAGACACACACATGTGTGTTGTGTGATGAGAAGTGGAGGGACTGCAAGCATGTTTTCTTTAAGCTGCTGTCACCATTGATGATAGGATGATAAACGAACGTGGGGAATAATTATCAAGAGAATTCTGTGTTCCTGTCTCTCAGAATGGGAATTGGAAAGAGTAGTCTTCTGCATTAAAACATGATAGAAAGCTCCTTCATATGTTTCCTTATGTAGCATAATATGATGTGTTATGGAATAGGGCATTGTTTTTGTCATCATTGCATTAATCTCTTGCAGTTAGTTGATTTATTATTTACTTATTAGCATAAAGCATATTGAATTTTGATTGGAAATTTCTGTGGTTATTGGAGCATAAAATTGGTTGAGACAATTTCTATGCATGTGCAATATTACTTGGCTGTAAAAGCGAATTTAGTCAAAAATACCCAACCTCAGTAACTTGAGAAGTTCTGGTAAGACAGATTTGTAGTAAGATGTTAAACTTCACAGAATAACATTATACACTGTTTCTAGATACTGTCTAGAGGTACATTGTAAACTTCTGGCAAAAGCTGAAATTAGTACCAAAATTAGTACTTTTTCACTGCTGTTTGTTGCTGCTGTCTGGTACTTGTAGTCTGTATTACTACCAGCTTGTGAATTTTAGAGTATGTAATGGCAGAATAGCAAGTGTTAGTATTTTATATATAGGGAGTTTACTTAGCATTCAGAAGGCTAATATGTCCATTTTATTTTGTTATGAACAGCTAATAATGTGCATTCTGTGGATTTTGTACTGTCAACAACAGATGTGGGTTTGATTGGTGTATAATAAAATTATGGAATTCAAGTAGGATAATAAGTCAAACAATTCATTATAGCAGTCGATCTTCATGTTTCAATCCAGCTGACCATCATCAAGTGTGTATAAATAAACAGTAAACATATTACATTATTGCTGAATAATATGATCAGAATGGATCCATTTTTCACTGTCTTGAACTTAATGGTCTTTGTGTTGAGAGCAAATATATGAAGTATACATTAAAAAGGTAACAAATTTTATTAACCCTTCATTGCCGGTGGGCATTTGAATTCCTACTGAACTCCTATGCCAGAAGATATTTCAATATTTAAATCGGAGAGTGCAACATTTCACTTAAAAGTGTAATAAATTGGGAAAAACTGGAGTTTTGTTTTTCTAATTTTCACACTACGTTCAGAAATGTATATAGAATCGGTGTATTGATCCACACTGCTTTAAAATTATTTTTTGGCACAGTAAACCTATAAAAATGATGAATGATAGTATCATATTACCTTAGTAATTCAGTTGGGTGTACTAGTCATGAAAACATTCCACACAGAGACCCATGTCACATGCGTCATACCAGTACACAGTTTTTAACACAGAACAAGCCACTTCTGTGGTCTTGATTTCTTTGCAGTTGGTAGAATCTTGCTTATAAAATTTATTTCTCTTAGGGTGGCCACTGATTGTCTGATGAATGTCGACCCAGCACTTTGTGTTCTACAGCATTAGCATATTTCACAGAGAGTCCCTCAGTTAACTGAATTCTGATTGACAATTTATCTATTCTTTTCCTTTATTATTCCTACATATTATCACCGCATTCAGAAATTTTCTTTTTGTCCCTTATAGTTTTGCATATTCTCCCAGTGGATGTTTGTGCTATTCTCGATTCTGTCATTTACCACAGAATTGAGAAAAGCACAAACATCAATTTTCAGTGTCTAATTCTGAATCTGATAAAACTTTGTTCTGATTCAGTTGCAAGTAAATATATTCTCCTCTGGTCATGACACAACATACCTGGCCGCTTCACTGCTCGTGGCTCGCCTTGGCTAACCAGACTGCATGATGCATATTTATAGAACAAAGGGGATTACAGTGGTATCTTCATATAGTGAACTGTTTATCATTTGCTACAATAGCAGTCATAACACACTTCTAGAGTCAACATCACGTTTCAAAGTTGTAGATTCTCCATGTATCTTCTCGTAGTTACAAATACCAATCTGGAAGCAGCACAGTTCAGAATATGCCTTAAGAGAATCAACTTTTCTTCCATTATTNAGGTGAAATTGAGTGCACTACGAGACGGCCACTGTATACAAATAATGGAGGAAAATCAGTGCAACAGGACGCTAAAATATAACATAATCAACTTTTCATTCGATCAGCATGCAGGACAGCACACAGTATCGATCTAACATGTTTAGTTCATAACGATTCCCCTAGGCAGAGATAGGTTTGTATGATAAGANAAGTCCATACATTACAGGTTAAGCGCACAAACTGTTGAGGTAGAAAACTTTCTCAACTTTCTGCTGCAGGAAGTTCAAAATGGGTCAACGAATGTATGAAATTTCCTCTTTAATTTCATACCAAAAGAATTACTCTACATGAAAAACAACAGTTCAAAATACGAGTTGAAACTACGGGTGCCCTGCACTGACCCTGGTGGCATGTGACAGAATCTGCTGGTGTGCAATGTACAGAGCCCATCACTGAATGGTTAATAGGTGTGTGTGTTGTGTTGTAACTGCTTTTTAAAGAATATTTTTGTGGTTATGGATTTTGGTTTGTAATTGTATGTACTTAGTAAATTGGTAGTACTGTCTTCATATTTTCTTGTAGATGTTTTTATCTGTAAACGAAAGGTAAGGTTATGAAGTATTTATACCTGTTATGATTTATTAGGTTATAATTGTGATTTTTTGTACTTATGTTTTTATGGTATTGTGGGGAATGTTCAGTATGTTGTATTTGAGTAGTTACATGACACTCAGTATACTGTTGTGAATTGATATTGTTTGTGCTGTGGTTCTGCAACGTTGTGTTTGATAAATTTTTGTGCAATGGAATGTGGAGATGATGTCGTGTATGTTACAGAAGTCAGTAAATATTAGGTGTATGTGTGTCTTTCATTAACTTTGCACTATTCATGATATATCAAAAACTGAAGGTATTCTCATATCATGGTTGGTTTGTTATTTGTAGAAATGTTCACATGATCAGATTTTTATTTTTGCTGAAATAATGAAGTTTTGTTGTAATAAGAAAGTAAACTTGTCCCTGTGCTTAAGTAGTTGAGCACTATGCTATGAAGACATATTGGGGGAATGGATGAATGGATGTATAGACCCATGTTTTATTGACCTCAGCACTAGCTGGAGATGAGTGGTCACTTCCCACTCTGGCCACTCTACCTGCATGAAAAGTCCCTGGCACCCATTGAATAGGGATTAAATTTTAGACTCTTATTTCTAATGTTTAACTATGTTTTGTTGAAGTGTTTACCTGTTTATGATGTGTTTTCTGATTTAGCTGGTTGGTATATTGGTGAATGACTGAAGTATGTGGCTGAAGTTTGAGTTGTGGTATGTGTTGAGGTGGCTTATTATTCTATTCGAACTCAATCATTTTGTTATGTACCAATCAAACCCACATTTGTTATATGATGGTACTAAAGCCACAGAATATACATACACAACAGGATGCATTGCACAGAAATGGCTAATAATATACCTCCTCTGAAAATAGCGAGGTTATAATCTGAGAAATCTTCAGCATTTCCATAGAAATATTTCTTTGTATTTGAAATATGTTCCCAATTTCTTAATATGCCAGCTTAATTCAACATAATATACTGTTTTAAACCTAAGCTAAAGCAATGTTAAATAACCTAAAATCCACCCAGTCCATTCAGATACAAAGTGCCCTCACATTCCCTGAGTGTACCTTTACAAGTAATAGAGACCTTAGACAGAGTTGAATGAAACAAGTGAAGTAATGGAAGTGCCCTTGTTCAAGTTCATTGAAATGAACACAAGCAAGTGCCCTTTTATATCTTTATATGTTTGGATTTGCACTATCTGTATCTTGCTTATTGTATGTACTTTGTTTTGTATTGTTCCCTTTATAAGTTATAATCTTTCCTTATCTGTATCAGTGTAAGATCTGCTGCCACTAGGTGAATACCCAATTGCAGTAAAATAATAATAATAATAATAATTATCTAAGCTGAACACATCTCACCTTACCTGAATTTACATAATAGTTCCCATGTCTTGCCAAAAGGTTCCTTGATGAACCTCAGTTACATAAACTTAGTTGAAGTTTCTCATTGTTCCTGAAATCATGTCAGGCAGATCTAACTGAACTGACTCTGTCACACTTTTATGTAATTCACCTCAGCCAAGCCCAGCTTAATCAAGCATTACCTAACAAAAATTACGTATCTCTTAAACTTTCCTCACATTAACATAACTTATTTTTTCTCCATGTGTGAGTAATTCAGCCACTTGTCCCAACATATTTCAAGTCAGGGTCTTGACACTTGTTCTTTGGATATAGGAACAGAACAAATTCTTTGATCTGACATTTTGAAACCAGCCAAAAAAGGATATTTTGAATGGTAGCAGTGAATCTAATAAAATCATATTTATGTTTTACTGTACTGTGACATATTTCTAATCTGCAAGTGCAGGAAGCATGTCAACTTTGCTGGCCAGCCATCCTAAATTGTGCAGTATTTACATTTTTGTATTTTGTTTTAAAGACTTTCAGCTGCTTGCCTGACTTGTCACAGTGTGTTGGAAGAATCTACTTCAAATGGACGCCACTTTATTTTTATGTATATATATGAGGACTGAAACATCAAATTTTCGAAACATTTTTAGAACACTGGATGATGTACAAAGTCTGAAAGCCCAGTAACTCTGACTTTGAGAAAATGGAGTGACGGTAGAAGTACTTACACAGTGTCAGCTGCAAGATCATGAACATCATTTCTTTCTCCTAGGATCAGTTTCTGGCGTTTTTTCCTGTGTTTCGCAGAGTAATGCATGTCTGTAGCTCAGGTATCCCATTGTCACAAGTACAGCAGCAGCATGACATGCCTAACAAGACTGCTGCTGTTCTCTAGTCACCACCTCATGTGTTCCAACAGTGCTTGTTGTAGATAATTTTGTCAGGTAGATTTTTGATGTTTTCGTACATTTCCTGCATGTGCTCTGTGCAGGCAGTTGGTATGGAGGGATGCTTGTTTCCACTGTGAAGTAAAACTGCTTTTAGTCAATGTTTCAATGAATCAACAAAAGCTTCCATTCATTGGTTTTGTGAGCTTGTCCTAATGCAGCAATGACATTATCAGCATATGAACAGTGAACAAAATCACCAGCTGAAGAAAAATACTGAGCAGTGTCTCCTTGACGGTAATGAAACGTCTAAATGTTTGTGTTCTTCTGTAGAAGTCTCCTGCCTTGCAGTCGTGATCCTGATAATTCACCTTGTATCTTAGATAAATTCAAGTCCCATAGTAAATCATTGAGCTTCCTGTGGGAGATATGATGCAGTTCATTTGATGTAGAAGTCTAAAAGTCTGGATTTGCTGATACCCTATTCCATAGGGACTGGCTGATCATCATTGGTCCATTTCTCAGGTGATTTGGAAACCAGCAGGTCTTGACTCTGAAGCACTCGTCTGACAGCAGAAGGCAGTAATGGATGTTATATACTATGTTTAAATTTCAAAAAAATTCCAGGTATCTTAGTTAAAGAGAAGTAACAGTCTGTCAAGTTATCTTGTTTTTCCAAGACCATTAGAACAGCAGATGGCATAAACTTCTCTTAACCTTTCAGCTATCCTCTCAAACACATCACACATATGGCATAGACAACATGAGGAGCCCAAGGTTTATCTTGGTCACCAAAAGTAGAGCTCATGTGATTTCTTAGTTAATGGTGTTATGGTAAAAAGTAAAGCTATCCCTGTAACAAGCCGTGAAGGCCCATATGGTTTTGAGACGTTGAGGGTCCCACATTATCTAGACAATTGGCTCAAAGATAGTGGTAAGGTTGTCAGCCTTGCGTTCCAGCTGCACTTTACTCCCCAGGAAAATTATTTAATTAATTCCTGGTACTCATTTCTGTTAGAGGCTGAGTGAACCCCAGGGCCATTATAGTCTTTCAGTTAAGTTTTAGCATACCATCACCACAAACAAAAAAACTGTCAGCATCATTTACACACTTTTGAGGCATAATGAAATTCTGTACTCACTCAACCACTGATGTAAACACCTGAAGTGTCAGAAAAGAATAAACTGTTAAAGAGCAGTGTAGTGCTTGTGCGTGTTTGAACTAGTACACAGATGACGTAACTGCAAAGTTACTGCTATTTTCAGTGAGCACTAGACAACAGTGTCTTGCGAGCTCTGACTTGCAGATAGACTATATAACTTCAAAGTTATGAGTTTTATTTTTCAATGCTATTCCGTTAAATTAAAAAATAAAAGACTAAAAATAGTGAAATAAGTTTTGCAAAAAAGAACAAGGAAACTCTTAAAACAGTAACTATAAGCATGCATAAGAAGCAGTTTTTGAAAGTCTTTAAAAATCTGTTGGTAACAGCAAAATTCTGTTTTTAAATTTATCAGCATTAAAAATGCACACTGAAATCATGCTATCAGACATTAGGAAACAAAAACTATGTAAATCATTGTAATCCCCTGAAAGTGGAAAGTGACCCATTGTACTGTGCAGCATAATAAGCTACTTTAAGAAAAGCTTTCAATTGGTCAGACATTTTTTATAGCCCCCACAGAATGTTTTCAAGAGAGGAGCATCTGAAGTCTGTAGCACATTGCTTGCTTTCACACATTTGTGGTTCTAGAATGGTGTATTCTGTTTTAAATGTTTCTATTGTCTAAAATACCGAGAGTCAGTAAATAGGACACAAATGGATATAAGATGTAAAACATGTGATATTCGAACCTAGAAAAAACATTTTTTTCTCACCATATCCTCCACCAACACTGATACACTTGTCCCGCCGCTTTACCAGTGCATCAAAACTCACAGCATAGAAGTCTTTTGAGTGTTGTCTCAGCCACTTGCACACCTCTGTTTCAACCTGTTCATCAGCAAAACGTTTGCCACCGAGTTGTGAACCGCTTTATGTGACAAACACTTCCCACTGTAAACAGGAAACATTTCTTCATGAATTTCCTTTACATAAAGTCCTTTTGCCCATAAAAATGCACAACAGATCTCTGCTCTTTGGTAGTTTACTCCTCTAGGACGATCACCATTTGGACTACTGAAACCAGCCTCTGAACTTGCACATGCTTGTCTGCTACCTAGACTGCCATGAAGCCGGACTGTGCTGTTACCTAGTGTTACACATAGAAAACCTATTAACGTTCATTTGTCCTTCGTTTTTTGAAGGCAGTACACCTCAGCATGATATAGCCATTGTTATCATATGTAAACCACCACTTATCCTTGATTTCTCTCCCTCCGACTATTTTAAACTTGAGTATGAGGGGTGAGCCATAAAACTGGCCCTAGCACTGCGACCTTCAGTGATCAATTGTGCTTGCTTGTTGTCAGGAAATTTCTGCTAACACTCTTCCATTCAAATTCACCACAGTGAACAGACTGGTCTAGCAGTAATGCTCTCCACTCATGTTCAGCAGAGGCTCTCAAAATAAATTTGGTCATGACACCAGGAATACTTACTAAGTTTTTTCAGGGTTTTCTTCATTTCTTCCAGGTAATTTCTTAGATAGTACATGAGTTAGGTCTTGACCACTTCTTCCAAATCTTTTCCAATCTGTTATTCATAGCATCCTAACATTTGATGCTGTATAGTCCGTGATACTGAAAGCATCATAAAATAACCCACCCAAGAAACAGTCACTGCTGCTTTCTAGTGCTTCTGATTTTCAACAAAGTTTATTTATCTTCTGTTTTGATTTAGAGTAGCGTACATGAGGCAGACTACACGCCTACCTGGAAAATGTACTGTTATCAGTGGCATTGTTATTGGAACATTTTCATGGCTTCATGTACACTTTGTATAAGGAATTTGATTTTGTTTTATGCAGTTCACTGTGAAGATCATATTGGCAGACTGCATGCTTTAAGACATTTGGATTGTAACGTTTCATTTCTGTTTTCATATAAGGTGATAAGAAAGCTACTTGGGTAGGATTGGTGTATAAAACTACACTCCATTGTTTATTGTTTAGTTGTACTTGACATGCTGCTTAATATGTGTTATATTTAAGCATCCTGTTGCATTATATAGATCTGACTTATGGAGCTTTTGTGCCATCTCTGTGCAATGTTATGCACTATTCTCTCTTTGTATTCCATTACCGGACACTACCCACAACAAAAGACTATGACGCCGACCCACACACAGCAGAACTCCCACCCCAGCAAGAACATTCAAGGAAGCCACAACCAACAAACCAAACAAAGCCAAAAGCAACCACATGCAACCCAAGGACACTGAAATAAAACTGATGTTAACCCACATAACCAAAATAACCAGAGGCAACTACAATAGGAGGAAAGAAGACCACATTACAGTGAGCAGCAGAACCCTTAACCATACAGCCTACACACCTGAAGATGGCCAGTTAGGCCGAAACATGTAGTGTCCAGTAGAGAAATATGAAGAAAGAATATATATATGGCACAAAAGCTCCAAAAGTCACATGCTTAATGTATGTTATGAACATTTGACTGCAGAGTGATGACAGCCTTGGAAGAAACATTTAACTCCGTCATGAAAGCATTATTTTTTCTGAAAATATTTTGCTTTTTTAAAAAATTCCACATTTATAGCTACAACCAATTTTTGTGCTTTTGTTTCAGTATAAGCTGAATAAATTAGTGGAATCGTTCTAAACGTCATCATGGTGTCATAAATCGTGAGTCCATCGCAGAAAATCTGAAGTCCTGTTCATCAGTTTATTTAGCAAGACTTTCAGGAAATAACTCTTCGCATTTTTACATTGTAAGAAAACTGTATTTACTGAAAGCTTATAGTTAAGGAATATTGTAAATAGTAGCACACTAAATATTCTCATTTCATTCATGTGTATTTGTTTCACATTTTATACCACTGACATGTCTTGTTGGAAGAAGATATGAGATGAGAAGGGTTTGGAAGGAAGTGTTCATTGTTTATTTATGGCACTGAGTAAAGTCACTTTTCTCTCGTCAAGCTCCCGAACTTTCATTTAGATTCCATCCTTGTTTGTTACGCATGCCACATAAAGTTTTTGAGCTCTACTGTTCCTTCAGTTGACCTAATCCTTCCAGCTGCACTGTTGCCCTGGGGTTGACTCAGCTCCTAACAGAAATAAGTACCGGGAATCTTCCTGGTGGGATGAAGGGTGGCCGGTGCATAAGGCTGACAACCTCACCACCATCTGTGAGCCAATTACCTAGAAAATATGGGAGACTCCACGCCTCATTGACCCTATGGGCCTCCACAGCCTGTCACAGGGATAGATACCTTTACCTACTGTTCCTAGTCGTATGGTTGCTGAAATCTTTTCCATCACTTAATTTGTGAAACACGAGGTTGCTGAAAAAATTTTTATCGTCTTGTCACCAAAATCATCACCCCTATATTAACCACATGGTCACTAAAGCTTCTTCCGTCACCCCTTACATGCCCAATCGTCAAAACATTTTTCATCACAACTTTTAATTGACCCTGTGGTCACTCCCTATTGGAGAGTATCAGATTCTTATGTTTTGTCCAATCATAACTTCGTCTCAGACTAACCAACCATAGTGAGATTTATATAAGAGCAGCTAACCCTATATCCTGCAGCGTCATTAACCCTGAAAGGTAAATGCAGTGTTTGCCAAATGCTCTAAATTTTTTTGGCATTTTGCCCAGTGTATTTCCAAAATCTGAAATACATGTATAGATTTAAATTGAAAATGGCCCTTTATATTTTTAAATATGGTACTACATGCGAGTGCATTTTGAAAAAGTGGCTAGTATTAAAAATTATTAAAGGGAGAAATTTTGCATTCTGGAGAAAATTTTCATCTTGACTAATGAAATGTTTTAAATTCTCAAATTTTTCTTGTCTTGAAGTGAAAAAGTCGGTCTCTCACATGCCTAGTAGGCATATTTATGGCCCATCTCCACACTGACATTCCTGTGTCTAGATCCAGACATTCATCAAGTATTGCCATGAAATCGGAAACTTCATTAGATATTACCATGAAATAAGCTAAAATAAATGTATCATTGCTTTTGCATTATTCTTTACATTCAACAAGAAATACTTTAATGAAAGTTGCTTCCTTTTTGAAGATTAATTACTGTACATCATTTCAGGACCCTGAATTTTTGCTACTGTCACTGACACCTCATAGTTTCATATATCTACTATGTTGTTATTACTGATTAGTCAGAAATTGGACAGAAAAATGGTTTCCAGTGGCACAGTGTCGATATCAAGTTTCATGAAAATCAGGCACCTGGTTCAAAAAATGAAATGAGGATAATCAAGCCTGTGATTGTAAGATGTTGGAAAACTGAAAATATATGTTTTTCAGATCTTTGGGACAAATGTTTGTTATTACAATGCTATGGGAGCACTGGGCTTCTGAGCAGCCTATCTCACTGCAAAATTGCTTAATTCTCCGTAATTGTGATGGTTAACAGTTCCCACTGTGCCTCACCTCTCCATCCCAGGATCTGATTGGTGATTGTTGTCTAAGACCTGATCCTTCCAACCTTTTCTGTGTAACCTGCCAGTTTTCCTAATTTTGCTCATTTCTTCCCTGAAGATGGAGGTGATAAGTTCCCCAGAACTGCTTGCCAAACTATATGCTGTCATATGCTGAACATAAATCTCATCGTACTTGCTACCAAATAACGTGTACAGCTGACAGTGTTGCTGGGTCTGGAGATTGAAATTTATTGTGTTTTATCAGTCCATGCAGACACACTACTCTCAGTACTGTATATATTTACAGTCTGCATTTCTTATGGCATTCTGTTTGAAACTAATTCTTTGCAGCAGTGTCCCGCTTGAGAAGCTTTTACTGACTCATTGACTTAAGAAACTCCCAGCTTTTATGGAACCTGAAGGTTCATTTCTGCATTCACAAGATCCTACCTCTATTTGCTGTTTTGAGCCAGACGTGTCCCATCCATATCCTCCAACCCCATCTCTTTTAACATCCATTTTAATTTTATCCTTGCATTCACACCTAAAAGATTTTCAGTATAATTGCTGGTAAATTATGAGGTTGTTGCCAGAAAATATTTTTGTAGATGCATTATTGTAGGTACAGGCTCTAGGCTGAATGGCCATGGTTCAATTCCTGGCAGGGATGAGATTTTTATCTACTCTGCAGCATCCAGACTGGCTCTGGGGTCCCCACGGCCTCCTGTCTAATGGGTACTGGGGCTCTTTTCTGGGGTGTAAAGTAGCTAAAATGTGAAGCTGACCACTTACCTCCATCTAGTGCTGAGGTCAAGAATAGTGAAACTTTCCCTGTACATCTTCATGGCTTGGTGCTTAACTGATCAAGTACATGGATGTTACCCTTAACATTATTAAGCAGTTAAATGGTTATGACATCTTAACATTTCATGCGGTACTCTGTATCGTAGTGGGTATGACATGTCTACACATCATGCATGTTTCCAACTACAACATTGTAGATATGACAGTTGGCATTGCAAATTTCTATGTTGTGCTTGCTAGAACTGCAAGTTACTTCAGAGTGTGACAGGAAGGTGCTTATTGCTTGCTGTCCTAGGCTCAAGTTTTTGAGAGTAAAGATTGTGGCAGGTCCTAGCAAGAAAATCAGAGGTAAAGCGACCAGAGCGTGAAGCTGACCACTCACCTCCAGGTAGTGACAAGGTAAAGAAAATGTGGTTCTATACATCCACTGCCCCATATACGTTAATGGTGTAGTGCTTAGTTAGTTAAACACAGGGACAACTTTACCTTTTTTACTTTTACCTAGCGCGAAGATGCGTGTGAGTGATGAGGTCTTATATGAACTGTTGCAAGAGAATGAATATAATGATATTTCCAAGAGTAAATATAATAGTGACAGTGAAATAAATGTGAAAATTTTGCCATATGGCTAATAGAGTGTCAGCTCTGATAAAGAAGAAAATGTCAGTGACAACATTAGCATGCGGCATGGCATATGGGCAGAGTCAGGTGCTTAGTGACCATGTTTTCCATTTATAGTCAAAGTCATATTGCGACTGACGGTCAGTTAGCCAGCAAGTCTTGGTGTTGAGCCCCATCTGGGGCTCATGACCAGATATTAATTATTACCATTTGACAGTTACGGTCTTATTTTTGTGGGGCACCCTCTCTGTCGAGAGGATGGGTCTGTCATTTGCATATATTCCTGGCCCTTGCCAGCACAGTCTTTCTCGGGTCTGAGTCCCTTGGCGCTTGCAACCATATTTTACTGTCTCAGATTTGGGACTTCCATTTTCATCGCCTCCTACGATTCGCAGGGTCACGGTGGAGGTATTCGACCCCGCCTCCAAATGGGGGTGTTTTCCATTTACTGGCAAACCTGACATAAATGTTGATCTAGAAGACCCCAGTAACCCCTGGAAAGTTTGAATTGTTCTGTACACCAGAAACTGTGGAAGTCACAGCCAGTGAAACAAATTAGTGTGCCATAAAAGTTTTAGAAAACACATCTGTGAAAACTATAGGTTGGCCTCATGTACTGCACCCTGTTTCCAATTTTACCATATGACAGCAGCCTTCTAGAGGCGTGAAAGGTTCAGCATACGGTGAAGACGTGTCTGAATGTAAAATTTTAGTGGTTAGAAAGTGAACTATGGGCTGGTATTAAAAAGTACACCATAATTATAAAGACCTTCATACCAGGTGTCACTGCAGTTGTAATGTTTCCTGTGGTATAATCATTTTAGTGATGATTTCACAGTCTGTACATGATAATGATTTTGCAGTGGATGTTCGGAAAAACAAATAGCTTTTGTTGCACAGTTCATTCACCCATAGTAGCCTTGTGCTTGTGTAGTAAGTACAAATTAAGCCCACACAACATTAAGAAATGTCCGCTATTAATGAGGCTGCCAGAGCTGTAGTAGGTCATGAAGAAATATGGCAATAATCAAACATGTGAGCCTGTGTTTAGGCTGGAGGTAGTTTTGTCAGTCAGCTTCTATGGTGGTGTTTCACATGTAAACAGACTCCAGTCATGATTGCTTATACTGAATGTGCATGAGTCAGAGATGCGTTTATGGTCATGTATTGGGAACTGAAATGCATGTGAGTGGTGATAATGGCATACTTTTTGAGAAAAAATCCAAACATGGAATTTTTCTAAGAAAATATATATAAACATTAATGTAACAGCCTCATAAATGAAAATATAGATATACATGGTGTGTCCAGGATCCATTAGGACTATTTTACTTTTCAATTTTTCCCTACAATGCCATCTGTTGGCGAGTTGTGGCATTAAGATTCTTGAAGAGTCAGCTGTGGCTGTCTTATAATTTCAAAGCGCAAGCATCGCTGGATCATGTGTTCTGACCTTGAATGTATCGGTACTGTTCTGACACTCGTCAGAAAATGGCGGTTGAACAGAGCCAACATCAAATTTTGTTTGAAGTTAGACAAAACAGCCAGAGAAGAGCACGAAATGATGACAATGTGTACGGTAGTGATTGTTTGAGTCACTTGAACATTATTTGATGGTATGCTGCATTTCATGACAGCAGGGTGGACATTGAAGACGCTCCGCGTGCATCAAAGCCGAGAACAAGTCGCACTGAAGAAAATGTGAAAAAAGTGACTGAAATCCTTGCATCAGACAGATATGTTTCTGCAAGACTTATCGAGGAGCTTTTGGGAGAACCAAAAAATACTGTGCATCAGATTTTGACCGAGGATTTGGACAAACGGAAGGTCTATGTGCGTTTTGCACCACACGCTGTCAGGCGATGAAAAACATGCCAGAGTGGAACACTGCAAAGACGTGTCGGTCAGCCCAGAGTGATACAAAATTTACAGAATCGATTGTTACTCGTGAAGAGACATTGTATTTTCAATATGAGCCTCTCACAAAGCGGCAGAGTGCAGTGTGGCTGAGCCCAAAGAAGCCGAAACCAAAGAAAGTGCACATGTACGAGTAAAAGAGTTGAGTAAAGGTACTGCTGACCATTTTCTTCTATTCCAAAGG